GAATATTAAAATAAAAAAATGCAATAATGCTATGACGTTATTTAAATAGAAAAGCTTTTAACTGCTTTTATAAATAAGTTGTATTAAAAACACTACTGAATTGTTTTCATTATTTTTAAAATTTTAATTTGCATAATTTATAAAGTTTAAAATTTTTATAGATTCTGTATTAATTTTACCCTCTTAGATGATAAGGAAAAACTATATTTACTAATTATAAATTGAAAGGTTTTGTCCAAATCATCAAACACTATTATATTTAAAAAGAATTTTGAATTTTATATTTTTGTATGTGTGTAAACGTGCCGATTTTTTATACATACGGATGTCCATGTGTGTGTGTGTGTGTGTGTGTGTGTGTGTGCGTGTGTGTGTGCGTGTGTGTGTGTGTAATGCAAATCACATATCAAAAATGCATCAAATGACTAGCATTTAGCTTATTTCAAGCAGAATTTTTCTCAAGAAAGTCAAGTGAGAATTAGAACGACATTAGTCAATAAATTAAAAAAAAAATTCAATAGATAATTTAAATTAATACAATTTTCAATCGTCAACGCTCATCAGCATCAGAGGACCAGATTTGACCCTGACGAGTGGTGTCGCTGCAAAACTATTCAAGTCGTTTGAAAATTGAAGTTGACTGAACTTATTAATTTACTCACTATATACAGTCAGTGACGAAATGATTCGTACACCCATCAATTTTGAACATTTTTATCGATTTCTCAGAATCTAATGCCCATATGGTGTTCGGTTTTTATATATAATAAGCACAAAAAAGGAATATAAAACTCAATTTTCAGAATAATACATTAAATACAACAAATATGATAGGCGAATTATGCAAAATAGTAAAAGACAAAATTATTCGTACAGTAGGAAATATCGTTTAAATTGATTGATTTGTGTAAGTATAAGTAATTTACATAATTATTTTATTGGTGAAGAACTCTAGACTATTTATTCAGGAGAATATTTGTGATAATTCTAGCAATGAACATCAAAGAACAGAGATTGTTGCGATTGTTACTCTTACGTTAGCAACACGATGGAGAAGACAAAGGAATAATTTTGTCTTTTCTTGTTTTGCGTAATCCGTCTGTCAAATTTGTTGTATTTAATCCGCCTGTCAAATTTGTTGTATTTAACGCATTGTTCTGAAAATTGAGTTTAATATTTCTTTTTTCTTTGTGCATATTACATATAAAAAACTTGACATCTACGTGTATTGGATTCTGAGAAATGGATAAAAATATTCAAAATTGATGAGTGTACAAATAATTTCGTCGTTAACTGTATATTTCTTGGATTAACCTTCTCAGCTGACATGAAGTGGAAAGATTATATTGAATCCATTGCTAGATTAAGAAAGTCGGTACACACTGTTGGGCGAGACAAACTTTTCTTCGAAATTTATCTTGCACATGTATAAGTCTACCTTGCACACCATTCGTCCATGCTTGGAATATTGCTGCCATATATGGTCCGGTGCCCTTGCTATTTCCTTGATAAGATCCAAAAAATCAGCAATATTATTGGCCCTGATCTGGCGGCTTGGTTTCAGTCGTTTGACCACAGCTGTAAGGTTACCTCTCTGTGCCTTTTTATAAATACTTTCATGGTAACTGTTCGGATGTGCTCTTTGCTATGGTACCTGAACTGTATGAATTTAAGCGCAATACTAGACTGGTGGCGCGATCTCATCAATTTACAGTTGAGCTAGCTAGATGTAGGGGAAAATTCTATGCTAACAGTTTCTTATCTCGCACTTCACGCTTGTGGATCTCCCTCCTGGTCCCATGCTTCCACATAATGAGGAAGGGGGGCCTGGATAATCTGATAGTCACAGGTCGAATAGAGAGAAAGAGAAACAAAGGAAAACAACGTGTGACATACCTGGCAGACTTAAGCAATTGGATAACAGAACGTGTTCTGGGGGAGGAAGCAGAGGGAAGGAACTTGTTGAGAGCAGCAAGGGAGAGAGAGAGGTGGAGAGCCATGATCGCCTACGTCCTGAAAGGACATGGCACATAAAAACAAAGAACGATCTGCGAATTTAATGTCAAAGAATTTCAGGAAATTCCTTTTTGTAGGGTTTAATGTTTATATGAGTTTAAAACAGAAGCCCTAGGTGGGTTTACATATTTTTTGTAAAATAGGACTCGCAATTGCCCAAAATCTGCTCTTAAAAATAAAAATGTAATAAATCTATGACATTATTTAATTAGAAAAGCTTTTAATAGCTTTTACGAATTATATTATATTATTTTATTTACTGATCATAAATAGAAAAGCTTACTACAATTCAGTAACCCCAGTATTTTAGCCAGCATTTTGAAATTTGTGTGTGTGTATGTGTGTGTATAAACGTGCCGATTTTTGCCAATATGGATGTCCATAGACGATATTATCCGAAAGCGTGGTTACTATAGTAATTGTAAAGCCAAACTATCTAAAATTAAAAAAAAGACATTAGATTACTTAGGTAGTTTAAAAATTATATAAAAAGATACTCACGTTATATTCACCAAGGAGAAAAATATAGTTAAATTTCTCTGTTACTATAGCTGTCAACACCTCATACCCACCACCGGTGTTAAAAATATTTTTCTATGATATTTTAAACTATGAGTAAATAATATTTGTTTCAAATCAGGTTAATTAAACTTTAAATCAGTTAATTTTCCTGAAATAAAATTTTAGAAAAGCATATTTTATTTTTTGAGAGTTTTTTTTTTTCATAAAGAGAATTACATTGTGTAGAGAGAATTGTAAATATGGCGTTTTTTAGAGATAAAAAACTAATTCCAATAAATTTAAATTAGATTTGAAATGCAGGAAAGTATTTTGATTGTTGAAAATAAAAAAAGCTTTAAGAAAGATTTTTATTTTCAAAATTCATTTTAAACCTTATGTATAGCGTTTCTTTGGAAATGCCTATAGACACATACATACACAGACACACACATAAATAAATATATATGTGTGTGTGCGTATGTGTGTGTAATATTCAAAATATAAAAATAAATACAATTAATTCTACAGTGTGTAATATCTGGAATTCTTCTTCTCCACCATTATGTACCACGTCCCTTCGGGACGTAGGTAACCATGGTTCTCCACAACTTCCTATTTGTCCTAGATCTTTTTATCATCCCTCCCATCTCTTGTTTTGCCTTTCATTCGCAAAGTTCGTCAGATATTTGGTTCACTGCCCTCCCCTGTTTCTTTTGCCGTTGATATATCTTGTTAGTGTCAAATTTGCCAAGCCGTCTTCCATATTAACTGCCCCAGAAGTTCCAGCTACCTATTTCTGATTCTGAATATAAGTGTCCTTTTTTTTCTATTTTCGCTAAGACTTCCTCAGAGGCATTGTAAGTCTAATTTTTAAATTTACTTTATTTTAAATTTACTTTATTTTAAGAAAAATGTTCTAATCACTCTGCCACGTGTCCGTTGGTGAAAATGTATTTATTTCTTCATTAGATCATGTTATTTAAGTCATGGCAATTATGTGTGAAAAATAATATCGCCCAAATGTCTGCCAAGGCTTCGGCGGCACACCTCCACTCAATGGTCAAAATTTTTGATGACGTCTCTGAATAGATGCTCCTCGATCTCACCAATATGTCTTATTCTCATCCTTCAGCTGTTGAATTGTTGTTGGCTTGTTAGTATAAACCTTACTTTTGAGATAACTTTAAAGGAAGACATCTGAAGACGTCAAGTCGCACGATCGCGGTGGCAAATTGACTTCGCTCTTTCGAGAGATATTGTATTGGGTGAAATTTATAATAAAAAAAAGGTATTTGCTGATTGTCCAGATACGCGTTGTATCTTGACAATTATAATTTTCATGCGTATCTTGAAAATTATAATTTTCACACCTATTTGGGCAATTATAATTTTCGCGCGTATCTAGGCAATTATAATTTTATAAAAAGACAAATTTGACAAATTCTCGTAAATGGCTACAGTATTAAACATGTTTAGCAAACATTTTGTGTTGCAGGAACTGTTTATGTTTTGGAGCTAATCAAGCTCCTTGTTTCTCTTTCGTTTGTACACACACATACACACAGAAACACACACAGAAACACACACGCACACACATTCTCTACTTTTCAAGTACACGTATACCAGATGACGTCATGCCTTTTCTACTCGATAAGAAAAGTAGTACATTTAACTTTTTCCTGTAATATCATGTTTTTTTCCCCCGGAGTTAACCTTTCAATTTGTGTTGCAGGCGCACCAACTGACCGACGATTTGTATGCAATTGACCTCCGTAATCTGTCGTCAGAAGCATCATTAAAGGTATGAAATATTGCAATTACAATAACGTTTGTGTATAAATATTATATTGTCCTCTGCCCCTCACGTAAACCAACCAATTCTGCATGGGAAAATATTCTTTTTAATTTACACCCTTGTGCAAATTAATTGAAACAACCGCTTTAGTTTCTTTTCTTTCACCATACGGTCAGTTTTAGACCCACTAGAGTGTAATCGATTTTTTCCTCAGATTAGGTTATTTGCAGTGGTGTGCAGCAATATGAATCTATTTTTGAGGTGTATGATGATATTTGTTTATCTTTGAAAAAAATTACGTCAGATTTTTATCACGCCCATACACTATTGTCTCGACAGTCGATTAATTGCACTACGGCCAAGGAGGCATACGAAAATTGTAACGCTACACGAACACACTGGTATGCCTTACCAATGAGCAAATCAAAGTACTATAAACTGGACCGAAAACTCCCCTGATTTAAATCCAATCGAGAATCTGTGGTCAGTCTGCAAGGGGAGACTTCGTGGAATGGACATACGAGGTACAAACATGTGCACTCGGTCATGTTTCATCGAAAAATTACGAAAAAATGTAAATAATAACGGAATTATTTTTTTTGTTTCATTTAATTTGCACAATGGTGTAATATTGTCTTTTAATCAAAATATATATCTTATTGGATTCTAAAACACTCTCGCGCCGGATTTACGGTCATATCACGCTGAAACACCGGTTCTCGTACGATAACCGAAGTTAAGCAACGTCAGTCCTGGTCAGTACCAAGATGGGTAACTGCCTGGGAATACTAGATGCTGTATGCTTGGATGTGGGGGTAGTGTAATGTATAACGTCTCGGAATTGGAAGTCGTGTTCGCTATAATACGCGCAAATACCCTTAGGGAAAGGATGAATCCACCTCTTCTTCCCCTCAGCTATGGGTTAATTAGTAGAACTTGTATAAGTAAAAGTCATTTTAAAGGCTTATTTTCAACACAGGTACCCTTGCAGTTCACAGATTTCTTCCATCAATGTTGCAGTGCTTGGAAGAACGCTAATTCTAATTTTCAAATTTCATATTCTTTATACTCTTTGTGAGTGAACGATCGCTAATACTAACTTTCAAATTAGAAATAATTTATATTCTTTCTGAGCGAACAAACGCTAATTCTAATGTTCAAATTTCAAATGCGTTATACTCTTTCTGAGCAAACGAACACTAATTCTAATTTTCAAATGTCAAATTCCTAACACTCTTTATAAGATAACGAACAGTAATTGTAATTTTCAAATTTCAAATTCTAAATTCTTTATACTCTTTCTGAGTGAACAAATGCTAATTCTAATTTTCAAATTTCAAATCCATAATACTCTTTCTATGAGAACGAACGATAATTCTAATTTTCACAATTTAAAATTTTAAATTCTTCATACTTTTCCTGAGAGAACGAACGCTAATTTTAATTTTCAAACTGCAAATTTGAAATTCTTTATATGTTTCCTAAGAGAAAGCTTCTAATTTTCTAATTTTAAGTGTGAAATTCTTTATACTCATCCTGAGCGAACTAACTCTAATGCTGCTTTTCATTTTCAAATTTTCTTTCTGTGCGAACAAATGGTAATTTTAATTATTAAATTTCAAATTCAATATATCTATTCTGAGCGATCGAAAAGTAATTCTAATTTTCACAATTCGAATTTCAAATTATTTATACTCTTTCTGAACGGACGCTAATTCTAATCTTCAAATTTTAAGTTCATAATATTCTTTCTGTGAGAACGAAAGATAAATCTAATTTTCCCTAAGTTTCAAATTTGGAAGTTTTCATAAACTTTCTTGGTGAACGAACGCTAATTCTAATTTTCAAATTTCAAATTCTTTATACTTTTTGTGAGTGAACGAACACTAATTATAATTTTCGAATTTCTAATTTGGAATTCTTTATAATCTTCCTGAGCGAATGAGCGCTATTTCTAATTTTGAAATTTCAAATTCTTTCTGCTTGTACTGAGCGAACGAACACTAATTTTAATTTTCAAATTTTAAATTTATTATAAACGTTTTCCGCGAACGAACGTTATTTCTAATTTTCAAATTTTAAATTTGAAAATTCTTTATACACTTTCTGAGCGAACGTAGGCTAATACGAATTTTCAAATTCTTTATACTCATTTCGAGCGAACGAAAGCTAATTCTAATTTTCAAATCTTAAGTTTCAAATTCTTTATGCTCTTTCTGAGCGAACGAACGCTAATCCTAATTTTCAAATTTTCATTTCTTTATACACTTCCTGATCAAACGATTGCTAATTCTAATTTTTAAATTTCTAATTTGAAATTCTTTATACACTTTGTGAGTGAACGAACGCTAATTCTAATTTTCAAATTTGAAATACTTTATACTCATCCTAAGCGAACAAACGTTAATTGTAAATTTCAAATTATAATTGTCCCGCTCGAAAGAACGCTATTTCTAACTTTCAAATTTGGAATTATTTATAATCTTCCTAAGCGAAAGAATGCTTATTCTAATTTTGAAATTTCAAATTCTTTCTCTTCGTATTGAGCGAACGAACACTAATCCTAATTTTCAACATTCAAATTATTTATACACTTTCTGAACGAAAGAAAGATAATTATAATTTTCAAATTTCAAGTTTCAAATTCTTTATACATATTTGTAGAAAAAGGAGGCTAATAATAATTTCAAATTTGAAATTCTTTATACTCATCATGAGTGAATTAAAGCGAATGCTGATTTTCAATTTTAAATACTTTACTCTCTTTCTGAGCGAACGAACGCTAATTCTAATTATGTATTTTCAAATTCTTTATACTCTTCCTGAGTGATCGAAAAGTAATTTTAATTTTCCAATTTCACTTCTTAATACTTTTTTCTGTGACGACGAACGATAATTCTAATTTTCACAATTTTCATAGTGGAAAATTTTCATACACTTTCTGGGAGAACGACCGATAATTCTAAGTTTCAAATTTTATATTTGAAATTCTTTACACTTTTCGTGAGGGGACGAACACTAATTGTAATTTTCGGAATTCAAATTTGAAATATATTATACTCATCCTAAACAAACGGCAATTCTAATTTAAGAATTTCAAAGATTGAAATTCTTTATACTCTTCCTGAGCGAACAATCACTAATTATAATTTCCAAATTTGAAGTTCTTTATACTTATTCTAAGCGAACGAAAGCTAATTCTAATTTTCAAATTTTTTATACACTTTCTGAACTAACGATAATTCTAATTTTCAAATTTCAAATTCTTTATACTCTTTCCGAGCGAAAGAACAGTAATTCTTACTTTCAAATTTCAAATTTGAAATTCTTTATACTTTTTCTGACCGAATGAGCGCCAATTCTAATATTCGAATTTCAAACTTGAGCGAAACGAACGCTAATTCTAATGTTCAAATTTCAAATTCTTAATGATGTTGCTGAGCTAACGAACGGTTATTCTTATTTTCATAATTTCAAATTTGAAAATCTTTGAACTCTTTTTGAGCGAACGAACGATAATTCTAATTTTTAAAATTCTAATTTCAAATTCTTTATACTCTTCCTGAACGAACGAATGCTAATTCCAATTTTCAAATTTAGAATTATTTATACTCTTTCTGAGCGAACAAACGCTAATTCTAATTTTCAAATTCCTCTCCTTTGATTGCCCATAGAAAGTATATATATATATAAAAATTAAAAGCATAATTAATAACTGACATAGAAAAGACAGATTTAAGATGATCTACAGATCATATAGATGTAAAACATATAGATGTCAAACAGAAAGGAAAGATGCTTAAAAATTAATCGTAAAACGGCAAAAAGCAACCATTTATTTTCTGACTTTCAAATAAAATACGATCAGTCTCAGTCATATTGTGTATACAATCTCCTCATATATATATATATATATAAAGACATTTTTTATGTTTAACGTTGTTATTTTTTTTTTTTTTATAGATACAAGTATTTAAGCAAATGCTCTGTTTATGATAAACAGTATTAAATAACATTTACCGGCCTGAATGTCCGAGAAATCTTCATAGAAAATATTCGTTCTTTGACAGGATTCGAACCTGCATCCTATACGGAACCGTCATATACGCTGACGTGCCTTACCTCTAGGCTACAAAGAAGCGTTCGTTAGGCGAGGTCGAATTTACTGCATTTGCTTAAATACTTGTATCTATAAAAAAAATAACAACGTTAAACATATAAAAAATGTCTTTAATAAATAAATTCTCGGACCTTGTCCATTTCTTAATATATATATATATATATATATATATATATATATATATATATATATATATATATATATATATATATAAAAATCTTAAAGTAAAAGGCATAAATAGGAAAACCTTCATTTTGATGTTTCACTTTTATTTTAGGTTTATCAGAAATGTTTGAAAATGAAAAAAGAGAAATGTTCGGAATTTCGTATTCGTTTTTATACGTTGTGGCGTTAATGTATGTGCTTGTCCGAATTCTAGTGATCGCTTTTTGTGTTTGTCTTGTATTGTCAGTATGAAGGTTTAATTCGGCCACCCAGAGACATCGTTAACATCATCATACTTATTATAAAACCCAGGTTGTGTGTGTGTGTGTGTGTCTGTACGTTTATATATTGGATCGGATTTCCTACATTTTTCAACCGATTTCAACTTCACAGGACTACGTAAAATTACCTTGCGGTGGTTCTGACAGCGCCAAAAATTGGAAAAACACAATTGTTTTTGCATAAAATCAATTTGAAAACACGATTAAGAGGCATTGCGAGAATGAAAGAGGGACAACTCATATCGATTTATACTTATTATAAAACCCAGGTTGTTTGCGTGTGTGTTCGTTTATATATGGGATCGGATTTCCTACATTTTTCAACCGATTTCAACAAAACTTCACTTTTTTTTTTAGCACGTAGTGTTTCTTATTGTCTTGCACACTTTTTTCTTTACTTTTACATTCGGAATGCTTTAAAAATTCCATTTACAAGACAATTGTTTATAATAAAATTCTATTCAATCGGTAGAGACTCATAACGATTGAAAACAATGTTTTTGTTTGAGTTTGGGTTTGACCAATTCGTCAAAAAAAAAAAAATAAATAAATAATTAAGACATGTGTGTCCATCAACCTTAAACAATAATCTTTGTCAATTTTATTTTTCAGTCTTTATGAGGGTCGATACTTGATTTATCTCTTACTGTTACATCCCCGGGCAACGCCGGGCTCTACTGCTAGTATGATATAAACTCGTGAGATGTACATGATCGATGAAAAATAAGTAGTTCAACTGTGTTGTATATACAATTTCTTCATATACGTATATTGTTGTAGAGTAGGACTTCCCGCTCTTCACCACTACTGTGACAATGGACTGCTCCTACTTATAAATCTAGTAAGTACGTATATTAAAGGATAATGTAGTATTTGATTTACTCATGTTTTCCTGTTCTATGTCTATTTAATAAACCTCTTCTTTGTTTTCTTTACCCGATTTTCTGTTCCTTCGATACTCTAAGGCCTTCCTAATTCGTAGCTATTTTGAACAAAGACAGCATTAGAACATTATATATATATATATATATATATATATATAGAGAGAGAGAGAGAGAGAGAGAGGCGGGGGGAGATTTCGCCTAAATTACGCTAAAATGAAAATAACGCTGACATCTCATTTTAACAGATATATTTATCAAAATTACACAAAAATATCTTGAAATACGAAACAGTAAATTTAGACATTAAATTAGCTGCGGCCTCCAGACGACTCAGGAATCTCTTGCAAATCTT